AAAACTCGCGGTGTCGGTGATCTTTACTACAAACATGACAAGCGTTTCATCCGGCACAGTCCATCACGTTATATTCATTCTTTCTTTTCTTTCCTCCTCTCCTTTTTCCTTTTTTCCTCAGTAAATTCAATATTTATACACTATCTTACAATCCCTTTCTCTTTCTCCCTTTCTTTCTCTATCTCCCCTTACCGTTTTTTTCTCTTCTTCATATTTTCTATGTACAATTCAATTTTTGACCTTCTCTCTCTTTTTTTAAGATATTAATAAATGATAGTTACCAGCATCTATCTACACTGTAAATGATTTAATAGTTGATTTTTTCTCCTTAAACGCTACTGTGCTAATTAATTTTTTATTTATCATTTATATCACATTGTTCACATTATTCATTTAGCTTGAGTGCTCAGTGCTATACTATCTTTAGTTTCCATCCGTTATAAATCTTCCTCGACCCGTTTGGTTATCTTCGCTCTAACGAAATTATTTACATGAGGCTATTACATCGCTTAAATAGTTACCGATAAGGGTCTCAGTCGCGGCTAAACAGCTGATTGTAAAATATCACAGAAGCGATATTTCACAATCAATGACATTTCTTTTTTTTCTACTTTTCTCTATTCTAGTCCCGCTCACAGCTTTGTATTTCTTGCGTGTGTGTGTATGTCACAGGACATGCGTATAATCATTTGCATTCATTGCACGACTTGAGGTTTCGTCGAGTGAAAGCGTTTGCGTTGAAAATTCAACAAAACTTTATTTTTGACTAGTACCTCGAACCGAGTTTTCATTCGGTTTTTCGTCGTCTTTATTGCAAATTGAATTTTCTCGTTACGTCCCGAACACTAAGAAGCGCGTAATACGACGATGGACAAGTAATTTTATTAAACATATTAATTTAACTGATGAACTTCTCCTTTTCCATTGAGACACCAGTGGCATCGAGATTAAATGAAAATTTGGGAGATTCGTGTACTTATAGAGTATAATGACTTAAGATTTGAAAAGAAGAAAGGAAGTCTACATAGTAAACTGAATAACATAAACAAATTGTATAATCTACAGCATGAAGAACTTTTCTTATGTCGAATTTCTATCGAGTTAGCCAAGTATCTGTCTGCCTTAAACATCGAATAACGTCAATCAAAATACGTTTATGTGATTTCGTAGCCCCTTAAGGCACGCATTTACATCTTAACTCGAATCACTAATCATACTATTCACGATTAAATAATTTAAAGGATACAAAACAAGCTGATACGCAGATATGTAAAGGATAATAGTACTAATAATGTGCACAAAGGCTTTGGTATTCGAAAGAGAGAAAGATCGTCAACAATTATACAATGTGCGAAAAAGCAGGAAACATTACGCATTGAGTTACATCGGAAAGATATTTCGTTGTATAAACGTCTTGTGCAATGAAAATATCAATTATTACGTAGTGATTTTATGTGATAAATATGTATCTCAAATGAATTCATTGTTCCAGCAATCGTTGTCGATGATCTCATCACTGGAATACCAAACGGAAGCGTACAGTATGATTTTATAGGAGCAAACGTAGGAACAAACGTACAAGATATTTTTCGATAAATAAGGTTAAAATTATGTTAAAAGTGACATATAGATTTCTTATTCCATAAACAGCTTATAACTTCTTCAATCTTCAACTTTCAACTCCCCACTAAACAAAATTGAGACATTGCAATCGAATTCGAGATTATGAATTTATTACTTTCATAAAATATCATATCTCTTACTTATATCGAAATTTGTTATTTCAAAAAATAAAAAATGCAATAAGAACTGCATAAAAATTTTTATTTTTCCACATAGTTATCGTAAAATTTAATGTAATTTCGATTTATACCTTATTTATCGGGCAATTCTCATACATACAGAAAATAATGAAAAATAGTTTGATAAATGCGTGCAATCATTCTAGCTTCCCGAATAGTTGTGAGCATTATCATTTCCTTCTATTCTACTCGAGCCATTTTCGGTTGTTATGCAAGAATTGCGTTACAGAAATGAATGTAATGTATAAAAGCATGAAACGTTACAATGCACACGTATTCACGAGACAGATTACAATGATGACGGCGACTTAAAATATACATTTTCTAAATCCTTTCATATGACGAAATCTGAGCATGAAGAAATTAATATGTTCGTAGCGCGTTGCAATTATGCGTTCGTGAAAAGCGCGACAGCGATTTGTATATTATATATAAACATATAATAAATACAGAGGAATAAATACTTAATATGTATTATAACAAACCTACATAATCTGTTGCCAGTTTCTAAATAACTCGCTTTTATTCGCTTTTATCGATTTAACAAGATTTAATACATCTTGTGATTCAATTATCAAAATTAAACAGACAGACCTCTATATAGAGTTCAGTATCCGTTCTCCACAGCCGTTTTATAAATTTTAAGACACAAAAACTCATCATAATTTTCCAACTTCCACTCACTAAATAATTAAATCCAAATCCAGAGCTTTTCTTTTAATATAATACTAAGAGTACTGCTATTTTTTCTTATGATACTTTTTCAATTGCAATAAGATATAATGAAACTTGTCAATTTATGGATCTCACAAAACACAGTCAAGCAATTTAAAAGTTATGCAAAAAGTAAAATTTGTTTTATTGCAAGTCAAAGTTTTTTTCTCGTTTCGTTTATAGAAAAAATATCTAGGATATCTGAAGTAACATAAAACACTTAAAAAAAAGTCAAGGTAAGCATACATAACAAAAGAATTCTCAATCGAGAATATGATGAAACAATGATCTGAATAGCATATGATATATATAGCCGGTATAGTCTAAAAAGTTTTAAAGTCTTAATTTGTCAACATGTTAACATGAAAGCTTTCGTATTCTTGACACTCAGGCTACAGTCGTAAATTAATTTGTTAGAACTTTACATTTAATTTTTATGCACACACACAATAAACTATCTCCCTTAATAAAATCAAGATACCGTGTACATGTGTTGAGCAAAGATTTTTTTTCATACTTTCTCAGTCGATTTATTCTTCGGAAGAGCTCATATCTCGAACGTCAATCTTTATGGGACACAAATGATGTTTTAAAATGCAAGACCATTTTGATGTTAGAAAAAGAACAATAGACAAATCTCGCGTCAGATTCTTCCACGATATTTACTGTCTGTCGTAAAATATTTCAGATATAAATCACTCACATTCTCGCTAATTTATCACTAACATATCTAAGCGATTCCAACAAATAACAAAAGATAGATTTACTTTAGATAGATGTAGAAATTTACTCGAAACACCAGCAAACCGTATTTTGATATTCCAGCGCAATCAGATTAATTTTGCCTTTCCTTGATTCTGTCAGACAGTCGAATTCGAGGTCGAAGAAGGTTGTGTACTGGAAGCTGTCGCCGCCGTTGTTGAGGGTGCTGTCGACGTTGACGGTGAGCTCACCACGACGACAGGTTTCACTAAAGTCGTGGTGTTAAGATACTGAGCGTTTACAAGCGGCATTTGTCCCACGGACTTGAGAATGGGAGTAGTGATCATCTTCCCCGCGAGACTCGATGGTGCTAAGATGTGAGCGGTCACCTGATTACCTTGAGAGACGACAGTCATCGGCGTAACAATCGGAGTCAGACCGGAGAGAGGTGTGTGCTGGCCGACGATGTGAGCTATACTCTCTGTAGATGGAGAGTTTTGCATCATTGTTGAGGTTGGTTTACCCGTAGCGGTTTGAAGTGACACTCCATGACTTAAAGTTAATCCTGTAATCATAAAATAATGAATGTATTAAGCTTTTTTTGCCGCATCGTATCATAGTAGAAGCAGCAACTCATAGCACATTCCGAATAGCTATGAAACTAGAACATTGTTATACATACCATTTGCCGGAAGTATATTCAATTCCGCGCCACCGGGAAGTCTTGCCAATTCCGAGCCATTACCGCCAACGAGTGTTACGCCACCGACCATCTTATGTGTATTTTGCGCATCTCCCGTTCTTATTCTCGTCTGGGCGTCTACAATGAACGATGAAACATTTTTATTTAAAAATGTCTAAAAGTTTGCTTATATCCTCTCTATGCATGGAAATTAGAAAATAAACATCATTTTATGAAATCTTCGAATCGTAGAAAAATCCAAAAAAATATCATGCGCGTGGATCTTACGAGATTAAAT